GCACCAGGTCGTAGGCGATGTTCTCCTTGGCAATGTCGTGAAATGATAGCTTGATGGCGGTTCTAAAGAAGAAAAGAAAGCAAATGAGCAATCAAAACAAACCAACACCCACTGACCTCGTGACGGCCCAGAATGACTTGGGGTGAATGGCGGCGTCCTTGGTGACAAACTTCCAGCCGAGGTGGAGCATACAGCTGCGACAGCGGGTGATGATCCAGCCGTAGTTGGGGAACCAGCTGAAGGCGTCACTCCACTCGCTCACCGCCTGGACGTTGCTCACCCGCGAGAAGGTGAACAGCTCGTGGACGACGCCGGCGGGGTTGACGAAGGTGCCGCCCGTCCCCCGGCGACTCATCACCAGAAAGTCGCGCCGCGTGGCCAGGGCGGTGGAGCAGTGCGAGCACTGCACCACAAAGGGCACCGCCAGCAGGGCGTTCAGCAGGCGGAGGCGGGTGGTGGCGCAGTCGACCTGCAGCAGCTGGCTCTTCACCCCGTCGGAGAAGGGAATGCAGCTGAGGACGAAGTAGCTGAAGGCCGCCGGGTCCTCCGGGTAGGTGAAGCGCACGGCGGCGGCGGCGGCGGCGTCCCGGGTCTTCGCGTGCTCGATGATCTCCCGCAGGGCGGCCTTCAGCTTCGCCATCAGCCGCTGGTCGTCGAACTGGCGGTGCACCAGCTCGGGCAGGCTGTTGAGGGCGAGCAGCTGCCGCCGCCCACAGAGGGCGGTGGCCCCGGTGCCGGACGCCGCCAGCGCCTGCACCGGCGCAAAGTACGGTCGCAGGTTCACCTCGGGCAGTATGACGACGGTCGCCTTGAAGATCTCAAACTGCTCCTGCGTCTTGGCGGTGACGCGAAAGCGCTGCCGGCCCTCTGCAAAGATGTTCGCCACGCCGTCGACGAAGCTGAAGTTGCGCACCTCCGCCGTGGTGCCGAACTTGTCGTAGCCAATGCCGAAGGTCTTCGTCTCGCTCTCCACGACACGCTCGAAGAAGTGGCGCAGCGCCCGGTGTCTGAAGGTGAAGGGAATCTCCTGGCCGGGCACCAGGATGACGCCGCTCAGGTAGACTAGCGGCAGACTTAGCTTCGCCCCGTCGGGGAAGATGATCCGCCCATTATGCAGGTGGTCCAGGCGGCCCAGGTAGCCGTGCTCCAGCGGGAGGTTAATGTCGTAGTTGAAGAGATCAATCTCCTCGGCGATACTCTCGCGGTTGGCCGCGTCTCGGGCGGCAGCCTCTGCTACGGCCGCCTGGTCCACCCAGGGCGCCGCGTCGTGATAGAGACCGAAGTCGTCGATGTCATCAGCGTCCTCCCAACCTACATTAAATGGAAAAAGATGATAACGAAACTCGAGAACTCGAAATGCTCAGAGTTACCTGCGTTCAGTGCGTTCAATGCGTCGTCATTTCTCAAATCAATGAAAAGCTGCACATCCTCCTCTTCCTCCTCCTCATCCCCCTCCTCCTCCTCCTCTACATCGACCTCAGCATTTGGAAGCTCCTCAGGGTCTCCTTCAGGTATATCGTCCATGTCAGACTGATGATGGTGATGACGGTGGTGAATTATCAGCACTGGTGGACTTCTTCAACACAGACGCAAAAATCATCTGCTGCAAAAATCCTGCTCTGCAATGTTTACCTGTTCAAATAGCCGACTCAGACTGGGACTATTGTCACTCCGGCGACTCTGTGGATTGTTTCTCCCGTCTTTTGCGCTGTTCACCACAAAATTCACATTGACACAGCCGACAAAAGAAGTGGAAGAATCATCTCCGCTTCTACTTCTCCAAGTCAATCAAGCTTCTAAAGAATCATCACCTTCCAACTGATTATTGATCATCACCAATCCAGCCTCACCCTCCATTCTATTAGCGAAGAAGTCACTCGGCCGGAATGGTAAGTCTAAGAACCAGAGCCTGTCTGCCTGCCGATGTCTTAGACGGACACTCTAAGATTGCATTGTTGACATTGCTCACTCTTTCCTTTCTTTTCATTTTCCATGCCTCGCCATTTTCTTAGGACGTCTTTCTGATCATTCGCCGCAAGAACCAGTCCATCTTCTTGGACGTGAAGGAGGATACGACCATTCGCGAGCTGAAGGCGATGGTTGCCGGCATCACAAGGCAGAGTGTGGAGGACATGCAGCTGGCCTTCGAGGAGAAGGTGCTGAGCGATGACAATAAGATGGTCGACTACAACTTGAACCAGGTTACGAGCCGTGCAACGCATCCGGCGGTCATCTATCTCACATTTAAGCGTAAGTTGGAATTTGTCGCTTGTTGAAATGTCAAGTTGAGCATTCCCTTTTCGCCCTTACAGTTTCAAACGGACAATTCGAAAAGGTTGACATCGCCCCTCTGTCTGTGCCACCTGAACTTCCGGACGCAATGAAGCCCTCCAACGAGCCGTTAGCTGGTACGGTACCGGAGTAATTGAGTAAGAAAGAGAAACATCTTTCTCCCCACTTCGAAAGAACTGGTGTTTTGGTGTGTGTGGTGTGGGGTGAAGAGGGAAACCAGCCAACAACAATTCTACGAACCACACACTCATACACAGTTCTGCTTTGTCTGTCATCAACACACCTACAACTACACACAACACGACATGTTCTCCCTGCAGGGTCGTTTGTTTTTATTTAATTTATTGATCGATTCGCTAAAGTGTCGGCAATTTTTTCTTCTACTTCTTTTTTCTTCTCTTTCCTCTTTTCTTCAGTTCGGCAAAATATGACACCTTATCTTTCTACACCTGCTCACTCTCTAACTTCTTCACTTCTGTGTTTGCCTGTGATGGCGTTCACTTTTTTCTCTCTACTTCAAATGATAAAGAGATAAAGATTAGGTGGAAGAAAGGATGAAGAGGCACATTTGTTTTGCCATGCTGAGAAAGAGTACCACCACCTGTTTCTTCCTTTTTCTTTCATGTTTTGTTTCACCCCTCCCTTTTCACCTCTCTTTTCTGTTCCATCCCCCCACACTACTTTACTTTACTTTAAAATGCTCGTCAGCAAATGTGTTAGAACCATCTTAGCAACACACAATAACCTACTTCAATTCAATTCAACAACAACAACGTTTATTACTGTTATATCCTTTCGTAGCTGATAACAACATGTCCTTGCTTTCTTCTGAGGGCAAAATAGAGTGTGTACAAAGAAAAGAGAGAAAAAGAAAGAAAAAAGGGGTCAACTGCCAGAGTGTCTTGATTGTGTGTTGTGGGCTGNAGAACCATCTTAGCAACACACAATAACCTACTTCAATTCAATTCAACAACAACAACGTTTATTACTGTTATATCCTTTCGTAGCTGATAACAACATGTCCTTGCTTTCTTCTGAGGGCAAAATAGAGTGTGTACAAAGAAAAGAGAGAAAAAGAAAGAAAAAAGGGGTCAACTGCCAGAGTGTCTTGATTGTGTGTTGTGGGCTGGATTTGGATGGGGAGGTGAGGTCATATGTTTGGCGAAGAGAGAGGAGTGTGATGAATGGTGCTAGATCAGGGTTGAGGGTGAGAGGATGAAAAGAGAGGTGAAAGGAAAACAAGTGAAGAGAGGGAAAGTATAGGGAAATTGGATGCTTGCTTGGTTGGTTCTGCAGCGGACGCATCATTTAAGACGTTGGCCGACTTGAGCACACCTCTGGTGAACTTGTGGTCAAAGAGAGTGTTCGGTGTAGCATGCAACGAGAAGAAGAGGTGTGTGTGTGTGTGGCCTTGAAAGAAAGCTGTATACGAGGGGGGCTGATCTCTGAAGGAGAGCTCCGAAGGACTAGAGCTCCTCGAAGGAGGAGAAAGAGTTGGCCGCCTCAGAGTCGTCATCCCCGTCCGCCTCCTCGCCGTAGGCCTCCTCGTCGATCTCGGTGTCATCGTCCTCATCCCCTGACTCTTGGTCCTCATCCTCCTCTTCTTGATTGCCTGCCTCTGCGGTCTCAAAGAGCGCCACAAACTGGCTCTGCTGTGAGAGCGGAAGGACGTAGTAGATGGTGTCGCGGTCGTAGATCTCCAGCGCGGGATATGCACAGAGGCGGTGCTCCTACGATAGAAAAAGTGGTTTAGATTAAAGAGGAAAACTCTGCCGAGATTTCACTTACGGTAATGTACTTCAGCAGCGAGGGGTAGACGCGGCGCAGGCCGACCACCACCGAGACGATGCCGCGGTAGGGGAACTTGCTGAAGACGACGTTCTCCGAGCCGGGCAGCGTCGCAAACTTGAAGCCCTTCTCGGTGAGCAGGGCGCGGTCCGCCTCGGTGACCACCTCCTGGCCGGCGCTGTCGGTGGTGATAACGCCCACCAGGTAGTGGCAGTCGTCGGCGGCAGGGTTGAAGGTCGGCCGGAAGGTGGTGGCCCGCGTCCGCCGCTCGCTGATCGGCTGCTCCGGCTCGGTGGCCTCCTCCAACTCGAGGAACATGCCCAGGGTGGTCTTGCGCGGCACGATGGAGCACACCTCGGTGAAGAGGGCGCCCGAGTCGCCGGGCTTGCCCTTGCCGATCTTGTACGCCAGCTGGGCGCCGGCGAAGGCGAAGGGCGGCGCCCCGGTAGACACCTCCACGCGGTCGAAGATGCCGAAGTAGATGAGGGCGATGGCGACGGTGGCGACGAGGGCCATCGCCAGGAGGAAGATGGCAATGAAGTAGAAGAGCATGGCGAAGGTAAATAGACTTCTACAAGAGAATACTGCCAAAAGAAATAGAAGGCAAGCTAGCAGCGTCGGTACGGTTTTTAGAGATCAAGGCTGGGAGATGATCAACCACCACCGAGGATGATGACAATGACGATGA